AAATCACACTTCGTCTTCAACTTGATACCCGACTACCTACTTAGCCTCCCCAACCTACTGGAGCCCAAATAGCACAACTACACTTCTACTAACCCTTACCCTAAGACAAACTTAGTCAAAAATCCTACTATTGCTATATTTAATAATTCCAACAATAAATAACTATAACTACCTACTACAAGATTTTCTGCCATCTAACCAAACATCTAACCCAACACCTCATTCAAACACTCATACTATTGCAACCTGCATATTTTAAATTATAACATATAGGGCCTCAACCAAGCACTAAAACTACAACTTATCCTCGAACATTGTTACTCAAATGAAATTGATATTACTTTTCTCACAGAAACAAAGCTCACCATATCTACCAATAATCCTATATCACTTTCCAATCCTTTGTATAAGATTTATACAGCAATTTGTGATCAAACTAATATGAACATTCGAGAGTCTAGTAAAGAAGTAGCAATCGCACTCAAACCCACAATACAACCTTATATATACAAAATTAACTTATTACCGAGAATCGCTCTATCAATAGATCTTTACCTCCCAGCTAATAAAACATGACTAATTGCTATATAACTCCTATCACTGATCACATTATATATTTGAACTGCCCAACAATAATTAATTTCTTGAACCCAGGATGCCCGATTATGCAATATGAACCTTATTATTGGAGTAGACTTTAACTGCAATACCCAATGGAACAACTACTATAAACACAACTCCTTTCTTCAACATCTGATTAATACAGGACTAATAAGCCTACTACAACTACATCATATTACTGACCCTACCTGAAGCAAAAACTAATTTTATAGCCAAATTGATAATTTTTGGGTCAACCCTAAAATAGCACTTGCATTTTACACTTTTCTACTTACTAACTCCTTTACAATCACCAATAGCAACCACCAAATTATTACAACAGCTTGGTACACTACCTCAATCCACAAACAACCCTGTCAAAAAAAGCAATACTGAAAAATCTATAACTACAACCATATAACTCAAGAACTATAGGATGATTTTGCCATATATATAACCAACCACCTAAAAACAAAAACCCATCACCAACAACCAATTAAAAATATTGAAAAACTAAACAAAACTTTTAACAACTTTAACAATATAGTAAAACAGGCTGCAGATAAATACATTTCCCACACCTTTACCAGTCTACGCATCTTCTATGCACATTTACTCAAGACTAGCTCTTTATACCAGGCACTCAATCACATTAACCACATCCTGCAAATATTTACTTGACCTATTCCTTTTTATCTACAATATCTAATACTTACCATTAACCAACTTCTTAACAAAATTAATGCACTTACTCAAATTACTAGTCAAACTTTGTCTCCTCAAGATCTCACAACCCACATCTTTCCTGCCACTAAAACCCAACTCACACAATTACAGAAAACACTGTACAATGCAAGAAATATTGAAAACAACAACTCAAAAAAAGAACAAATCTAAACATTTATCAATAGATGTTATACCAACTTCCAAAAGAACACTACAAAGATGATTGATAGCGTTCTGTACAGAAATCGCATCCCAACAACCTTCTACAACATTTTAACACTCTCTTCTATCCTGACCAACCTCCAAGAAATAAAAAAGCAACTGTATAACATTTTCAGAACTAGACCAGATCCAATCTCTATGATGATACACTATGGCACGAATGAGAACAAGACTACAAACCAACCACCAAAGTTATCAAAGACACGTATTCTACACTGCTTGCACATATTGAAACTAGCAAAATTCAAAAAACTATTATCACAACACCAAATAACAAAGCTACTGGACCCTTAGCTATTGCTAATAAGATACTAAAAAAACTTCTCTTTACAGCTATTTTTTTACTTAAAAAAATTTTTAATGCCTGCATATCTCTCCAAACTATACTCTCCGCTTGGCACAAAGATCTTATATGGCCTATACCAAAAAAGAGCTACTACCCAAGAGACCTCTCAAAAACACACTCCATCACACTCATTGAGCATATTTAAAAAGTCTTTACAAAGTTACTTACTACATAGCTTAACACAATCTTACTACAAAATAACCTTCTCGATCCAGCAAATAACATAGCACTTCCACTAACATTAACTCTACAACCCATACAATATATTACACACCTACGAGAAGATGCATATATAAATAAGAAGGAACTTTGAATATTGTCACAAGACATGTCCAAAGCCTATAACACCATATATCTGCTACTACTTCAAAAAGCACTCTATAGACTTAGCATACCATTATAATTTATTAACCTAATAACAAATATCTTTAGCTCTCGGCAAAATCAGATCATTACAACTCTGGGCAAAACACAATTCTACAATGTGGAAGATGGAATAGACCAAGGCAAAACGATTTCTTCTATACTCTGGCATATATATTACGACCCTCTAATTCATCGCATTTTCAACTCGACACTTGGCTACACTATATTAGCCAGCCTACCTAATTCTAATAAAACACTTACCTCAACCACTAATGTAATTGCTTACATAAATGATACCACATGGGTAGCCTCTAGCCATACATCACTTGAACAAATCCTCAATATTGCCTCCTTCTTCTACCACATGGCTAAAATCACAGTCAACTCTTATAAGTCAATACTCTTCTATAACAACCCAAATGATACAAATCCTTTACTCTTTCAAGATCAACCTATATACAACCTTTAATCTAAACTAACCTTCAGATTTCTAGGAACTTATATTAATCACTTAATCGATAACTGCTATGTTATCAAACAAGAATTTTGTACAAAACTAAACAAACTGAAGTACTCCAAAATCACTGAAAAACAAGCTATCTATATCATAAATTCAGTTCTACTAGCCTGACTATGATACTAACTCTCCAATACTTACCTTACTTCAACCTATTACCAATTTTTAACATGCTGATACTCATTGATAGTAAAACAAAAAGCCTCTCTAGCTTGTGGCACCCCCAATTCTTTCCTATTTCACCCAAATACTTATGCTCTAATTAATACATACCAACTGCCAGGGATAGTAAATGACTTGAAATGACCCAAATGACTCAAATGACTAGTGACCAGTCATTGGGTCATTTCACATTCAAATGACCATAGAAGGTCATTTAACATTTGTTAACTGATAATCTAACGCTTTTTAACCAATCAACTTTGATTATTAGACATACTAGTAAAGTGATTTTTTCGTAGCTACATATAAAAGTCAAAATTTACTGATTTAAGTTGTTCTCTTGAACAACTTTACTAAAGATATAAATATTGATTAACCTAGTAAAATTTTGACTTTGGCGTTTGATAACTTTTTATATTAGCTATCTGACCAATAAAATTACTTTACATGTAAATGACCTAAATGACTTGGTCATTTAAATTTTGAGTAAATGACCTGGTCATTTACCATCCCTGAGACCACCGGCTGATGCTACACATCGCAAGTTTAGCTGATGACGGCGATACCCGGCGCAATTATATTGCTATTTCTGGGAGCATATCCCGTCTCAGTTTATACATCAATCGCAATGATGTATGCTACAATTTCTCAATAAAAAATTATGCAATAAAGTTTATTTTCTAGCATCGTGAGCTAGAGGCATCCAATTTACAATGCTTATCACGTGCGGTCAATGCTTTTCGTTAATATTAAAAAAAAAAATCGATTTTCACGACATTGTGATCTGCAGAGGTCACATCTTTTTGCTAAATTTAACAGTAAATCCATAATTCAAACATCTAAAAACTTATCTCGATAATCACCCAATAAATTCGATTTTATTTTACAGATTCGTAGGTTTGCAAATTTCTGTACCCCCTTTAAAATTATCAAAAAATAAAAACGTTCATTATATTGGAGTAGTGAAAAGAAATCAGTAATCACTTAAAAAACACCAGTAATCCGATGTTTTTTTTTAAATAATTTTTAAGGGGGATACAGAATGTTGCAAACCGCAATAAAATAAAAAAAATTCATCGAACTTCATTGGGTGATCGTCGAGATAAACTTTGAACGAAAAAGGTGTGACCTCTGCAGATTGTGATGACATGTAAAATCACGAGAATTCAGCCGATTCTAGCGTTAGAGAATTTTAAAGATTTCGAATTTGTCAAGATATCTTCAAAACGTTACCAAAATAGAGCGCAAAAGTTTTTGTTTTAAAAACTTTGAATAAAAATATCTCAAAAATCACCTGATAAAATTCAAAAAAAAAATTTGTTTAATTTAGGTTACGATGTTTATTGAACTTCGAGGATCATCATGTGACCATAAACCGAGCACAGATTATAATTTCGCGCTACCGCTACGTCTAACTCTAACGCTAATCTAAAGTGATATATTCAAAAAGGTGCATATACGTACGTACGTACGTACAAGAAATTGTTCCAATATTATGACAAATTATTAAATTACGATTAACTCACGCGATTAATACTTTCTTCAGTATATACTCCTTGTATATAGTATTCCCCTTTTACGAAGTACTTCCGGGTATTGCAATATTTAATTTCGCTTAGCTTTTTGAATAAGATTGGGGTACTATGTGCAGTGCTGTAAGATAAAATTTTTTTAAATTTTTTTTTTTATTAACGTTAACGTTCATATAAATTTTTAGACATTTTTTCATATTAGTCTTAGCATGAAAATCTTTATTTGGGGATGGATGCAAGTCTACAAAAAAAAAAAAACTTTTGAACTACGTAAAACTATAAAATAAAATACAAGTATATAAAAAAAATATGCTTTTTTTTTTCGAGTGTAACATAATTGTGAGTACGTACTTATTTTTCAAAATTATCATAATAAAAAGTGAATGGGTTACTATTTACGAAAGTGCAATTTTTATTATTTCAATCTATATATATACTTTAAAATCAAAAAAGACCAAAGCAAAGAAATATGTACATAAAAAAAATGCTTAATAGAAATATCAGATATAGATGAACGTGTTGTTTATATTTACATGCCCTTTAAGACACGTAAAGCTCTTGTAGCATTGTATTCACTATTGTTTTGTTTATCATAATCATCGCAATCACACCCAGAGTCAATTTCATCTATGCCAGCTATAATCCTTCCAACATCGTCAAGTTTTCTTATAAAACTTGATCGTAACTTTGGAATACTATCAAACACATCAAATTTTGATGATCGTCGTAGATAACGAGCCCAAATATCAATGGATGATTTCATATATTTCTCACCCAGTACATTTGGTAAAGCTTTATCCTTGTTCTTTGATAGTACATTTCCGACAATTCCTAGTATAACGATTCTTGTTTCTAAAACGATCCATCCAACACAAAATTCTGCCAAATTATCAATATCTTTGACAATTTCTCTAACAAAGAAATCTTTGTCGTCTTCAGTGGTTTCCATTTCCTTATTCTTTCGTAAAGTTACATAATTGACAACTTTATCAGCATAATGAATAGAAGCTTCAAGTTTACCACAAATCAAGAGCGATCGAGAGAGTAAACCCATTGTAATAATCTGCTTATCCAAGTCGTCTTTATTATTATTCTTTGATTCTTCCTTTAACTTGTTTAATAGTTTTACGCCAAGATCATTTTTTCCCTCATAAAAAGCTTGGATAATACATCCAACCAATGCATACCAATGCATTGGGGAAGCAGGTGTGGTAATACCAAAAAGTTCGTGAAAGGTAAATTTGGATTTCTTCTTTTGAACTTTATTGACGTCATGTCGTTCAGAAATAAGATTGGAAAAGGCTTCCTTGATATGGAAGAGAGCTTGAACTTCGGAAACATAAACAAGTGGAACAGTTGTGTTGATCATGGGTTTAAATGTTTCTTCTTTTTTCGATAAATGAAAGATATGATCACTGATCCTGTTAGCTACACTTTTCAAAATATCATTATTATTATCGTTAATAAGTGCGACTTCAAGCCACTTTTCTCTACAGTTGGAACAAGCCTTTTCTTTAATAGCCAATTTCCAGAAATAAGGTACAATTCTACGGGATAGAAAAGGTACTGAACGAAGAACAACATGACATTGCAATGCAGCATTTGCGTATATACGAGAAGGACTGATGCGCATGCTCTTATTATAAGTGTAAGGACTTTCCAAAAGGTTAATTGTTCGAAGGCATGTGTATAAGACTGATAGGCAAGTTGCACGCTTGTTTCCTAAAAAAAAAATAATAATAATAAATAAATGTAAAATTTATAAATAATTTTATCATTTTCAGTATCAATAAATTGTATTATAAATATAAATACTCACCACCACATAATTCTGCTTCACCAAGTCGGTTCCATAATTCAACTTCTAATACTCTTTCATCCATATCTACATCAGTATAACCAAAAGAAATTTCCCAGCCTAAAACCTTTCTTAAAAATAATCTTAAAGATTCGATAAAAAGACCAGCTACATAACCCAAAGTATTCATTGACGAAGTATTCGTAAGGGATGAAAAAGATGAGTAAAGCTCTGTTACATCTTTTGCCTTGGTTTCTAAACAAGACTGGATAGCAGATTTGCGAGATCGATGTGATTTGAATGAAAGCAAAGATGGCCAGACGATATAAGTAAAACACGTTAGAAATGTAAAGACCCTGGCCAAATACCTAATTTTTTTTTTAAAAAAAAAGTTTTATAAAATAATATAAGAAAAATGAATGAAAATTTATTTTATAAATAAATAAATAAATAAATAAATATATTTATATATACCAAATATCGATCGTTACGATAGAATTATAAATTTCATTTGTAATTGCCGATTCAGTAGTATGTAATGAATCATTACTAGCAATAACACGTCCTTCATCGTGATGATGATGATGTGAAACTGTTGATTGAGCATATTTCGATGGATCTGTAAAAAAATTCATACACATGAACAGAGCCAACAATACTCTTGAGCCACTGTTTCCAGAAGGTGATTTATTTTGATACGGAGTTTCAACCTCAGAAGGAGGAGGAGTATCCGGTGGAGTAAGTTTGTCATCATTCTTGTTTAAGGAATAATATAATTCGGCACCACCAGGAACAGTTTCAATAATTTTTTTTAGGATTGTATTTTCATTTTTGATTCTTTCGTTATTCTTTTTTAAATACAAAATGTATTCGGTTGCTTTTGTCAAAATAGTAGCTTTATTGGTTTTTGTTGCAGCAGGGATGCCATCTACTTCTTCGATTACGTCATCATCTTTGCTTTTCAAATGGCAAAGTGCCGGAACCACATTTTTTAAGTCATTAATTCGATCATTAATGTTATTTCGATAACGACGTTCAATCACATTATGAGCAACCTTTTTTTGTTGTTTATTTGTTAGCTTTTTCGAGTTTGGTTGTGGCTGAGAAGTTGAATTCGGAGATTCGGGAGAAGTTGGTAACTTTGTGCCTGAGGATGTATTTTCGTCACATGACATGCCTTCTTCATCTTCGGAATGATGATCTTGGACAGAGTTGGTATCAGAAGATTCGGCGGATTGATTCGTTGTTTCAAACAAAGAAGCCAAAATCTTTTTAATAGTATCAACATCAATTGAAGAAGATTTTAACCGCATTTTTGATGTCAAAGAATCATCAGAATTTTTATGATTAATAGAAGAATTAATTTTTTTTGTAGGCTTGGACTTTTTTACAAATTTATCAGTTTCGTTTGTAGATTTACGTTTCTTTTTTGAAAATTCGTCGGAAGAATTCGAGTCACATATAACAGAAGCTCGCTTTCTATTATTTTCATACTGGTTTTTTGGAGAGTTAAGATTGAACTCGGGGGGTAATAAGGTATCATAAGTATTAAATGTATCATCCATTGAAGAAGAGTGATTATCAAAGTCGGCCAATACAGAACTAGTTGGAGAAACATTCAAATCTTGAAAGATATTATAATTTAGTGGAGAAAGAGCATCCGGAGAATTAATATCTTCAGCAGAACTTTCGACAGAATTTGGTGAATAGTATAAAGGCTCAATAGAATTGAAATCATCAAGGTTAACGGAGTTTGGAGAGAATAAAGAAGCTTCTTGAGAATGGATATCTTTTGTAGAGTTTTGACTAGAATTCAACGAATATTGTAAAGACTCTGGACAGATATTACCAAGAGGGGTAGAATATAGTGGAGAACCTAGGGAAAACATGTTTGAAGAGGGAGCTGGATATTGAAATTCATTCAATGACAAATCGCCAGATTGAAGAGGTGAAGAGTCCATTGTATTATTATTATTATTATTATTACTATTATTATTATTATTGAAGAGCATTGCTTGAATTTGAGCTTCGAACTCAGATTGAGTAGAAGGGTTATTATTAAAAGAAGCCAGAATATCATCAACGGAGGATTCGCACATTAATAAATCTTGAAGGTCTGCAGACCCATTAATTAAAGAGTCGGATTCATTCATTTTTGTTAGTCAATTTTTGTCAAATATAATGTAATTAAAATATTCTCTAAAGGTGAAATCGAGGATATTTTATAGCATCTATTTTCTAAAATTAAAAAAGGATCTAAGCCAAAAAATAAAAAAATGGCCTGATATATTATTCGAATATGATTGGCTCGTATGTAACATATGTTAAAATTGTGGCCTGATTTTTTTTTATACACAATGACTAATCGTTACATATTGAGATATGAACTGCAATTGGTGAAATTAGTGCAATCGAAGAACCGTATATAGCAATGAACTAAATTGGCAAAAAAATCGCGCTACGGACGTACGTACAAAGTATAATGAATTATTTACCGACAAGTTAAAACAAATAATTAATAAAGCATCTATTGTGAAGAATTATTTACTCATGAACGTTCTGTTTTCTGATTACATCTGACTCTGGCCATATACCTTTTATATATAGTGAAAGTTGATAATGAAAATCAATATGTGTCAATTTGGTACGTATAATTCAATAAGCAATTAAATTATTCAACAGTAAATTAATTTTTATAAATACAGAATTGCTGCATCTGTAGTATCAAATTTAAAGATTTTCATTTGATTTTATTATTTAATTTTTTTGCAAATCTGCTAAACAAAAAGTTTCAGATGAAAAACAGGTTATATCTTTTTCTTTTTTTCTAAAAAAAAAAAAGCAACTTAATTTTGTCTCACAAACGCAAAAATTAAAATTATAGTGCATAAGTTTAAGGTATAAAAAACCTTATATTAGGGGTCATCACGATTTTGATCAAAATTTTGCAAATCCATTTTTTTTCTTAGAGTGAAAAAGGTAGTTTCATAAGTAAAAAAAAAAAAAAAAAAATTTTTTTTTTTTGAGTTACAGTATTAGGGGTTTATCAAAAAAACGTGAATTTCGCATTACATATACAGTAACAGTATAATTTATGATTATATTTTTACTCAGTACAATATGTTAATCAACTGAGTAAAATTTTTTTATATTAAAAATTTAACTGTAACATTCATTGGATTATTCAATATGGTTCGATAATTAACTAAGTTCAGATTTCTTTGAATATGATACAACTTTAGCATTATTAGGTAAGAACGATAAAGTAGTACAACTATTTAATTTATAGATATATATAGATATCAATATAAGTATCAATATATACTTTATAAAAATAACGCCAAACTCTTAACTTTCCCAATGATACGTAAAGAGGATCTTAATAACGATAATGATTATAAAGTATTTTTTAATCTTTAAACATTAAGATTTCCTGATACATTAAACACTATAAATAAAAATTCTGGGATACTAAAAACAATTTTCATGTAACTTTACCTTTTATTCCTTTTATTCATTATTTTTCAAATGCCTTATCCGGCAGCTTACTACGATAGGCGCTTGCCAAATAACTCGAATTATTTGGAGTGTTTACGTCATCTGCCAAATAACTTCGTTATTTGGCGGCTTACGTAATTACTACCAAAAACTCGAGTCATTTAGCAAGCACAATCGTCGTAAAAACCAGATAAAACCGTTATTGTATGTTACGCAGCCAATAACTTGTTTACCTAGTAGCGAATTCAATGAGTCATTTCTGGGCCCCTTCACTGACATATTAAATTTCACATCCAGATTCTCTGCTTTCACATCCAAAGCTATATATATTATCATACAGATGCATCTCCATTTTGTGTAATTTAATACTAAATTAAGAATCCGCTTAAGTGAATTCTAAATATAGTAATCCCTGATTCTATTTCAACATGAATCTATCGTAGTAATTAATATTTATAAATACATTTGCTTCTGTATATCTGCAAAATACTAAAAATTGAAATTATAGATTTTTTTTTAATATTACAAGTATAGTGATTATAAAAATATTATTGTTACCTGTCATTACGCTCCATGTTTACGCAAGTGATATAAAAATTACGTTTTTGATGCTTTTTACCAAAAATGGTTTGTCCGTCCGCACGCGTGTTCGAATTTGTAATTTAGTGTAACAAAAACATAATTTTATTCACGCGTTTGTGCAATACGTATGATCATTCAGTATGATATGCATTTCCTAGTACAGTCACAGGTGAAAAGTGACCTTTCTAAAAATCATAACAAACTGCATTCAAGAAACAACCTCTTGGAAACGCATGAGGCTTGTCGGTCAAAGAGTACTGTAAATATGAGTCAATGAAAACCAAGTTGAGTCATAACTACAGATAGTTACAGTAAGCCTAAAGATGCTGGTGAAATTGGTGAAATTAATTTCGCCAGCTTCTCTAGTTAAGCCCCATTTTGTCTTTTAAAGTTATTTAAAAGGACATAACTTGAGTGAACATTATTTCTCAATTTTTTGGTTGCCTCGGACTAACGTTTGATCAAACAGTTAGTGCTCCGATCGGGTTAACCCGAACAACCCGAAACCAACCCGGTTATAGCAAATCTATTAGATGGGTCATGACCCATATAGTAAATCTATTATAATCGGGTTGGTTTCGGGTTGTTCGGGTCAACCCGATCGGAGCACTAAAACAGTTGAGCCCTTGTCACGCTTCGGTCAATAATCTTGATTACTGAATCATAATCATGAACCATTTTAAAAATGAACTGTAGAAATTGATATATAGAGCCTCTTATTCCTGTATTCGTATACATTATTCAAATAATAATCATATTCGACGAATGATTTAAACCTTTCAAATAATTATCATAAATGGCCATATAAACGACCCGGGTATATTACATTCCACCGGCTAAAATCTTGAATTATATTTGGAGGATATTGCTTGGAGGGGTATAGTAATACTGTAGGTTAAATATAAATTACTAATCAAGAAACCTTGGGTCTCTTACACTCCACTAAATTCTTAACCCTGGTTTAGACCCGGATATGTATACAATATTGGGCAGACGATGAAAAAATAACAGGAAATTTTTTTCATCGGAGTTAATGCCACATCATGTGCTGCATAGCAGCACATGGGTGACATTAACTACGATGAAAAAAATTTCCTGTTATTTTTTCATCGTCTGCCCAATATTGTATACTTAAACAAGGTAAGAATAGCTACCAAATTCGCATAGGATCATCATATTACGTCTCGGCTAATTTTTGCAATTGTACTAAAACAGATATAATTTGACACCTTTTTAAATCTTAAATAACTCTTGATCCGCTGGACCGTTTTTAATGAACCAGTTACCAAAATGTTCTCCACATTGAGACGATTCTAACGAACCCAAAATTATCAAAACCCAATCATTGGATCACAAGATCGCTAAGGTTTTTTACGAGGATGACGCACCAGTAATCGGTTAGGCGTCATCCTCGTAAAAAAACCTTAGCGATCTTGTGATCCAATGATTGGGTTTTGACAATTTTGGGCTCATTAGAATCGTCTCGATGTGATAAACATTTTGGTAACTGTTTCATTAAAAACGGTCCAGTGGATCAAAAGTTATTTAAGGTTTAAAAAGGTGTCAAATTATATCTGTTTTAGTACAATTGCAAAAATTAGCCGAAACGATTATCCACATTAATGATGAAGTTTTAGAACCGGTTTTATTTAACTTACGTACAGTACAGTAAATATATATGTATAGTACCCTTTAACTAATCATTTTATATAAAAATAACATTGAAACTTATTTAGAAATGCATGTGTAAAGTTACATGCAACTATCGTATGATGCGCTCCATTCAATATAAGCTTTGATAAAGCACGAATATATATAGAAAATGGTTTTTGTTTCTTCATGAATAGTAAACCTAGGAACAAACATTTTATTGAATTGATAAACTATTTTTAACTTCAAAATTTTGTTAATGAGAATAATTAAACTGGCTTCGTTTTATTAACATTTGGAATTCTAATTCTAGTAAATAGTAACTTGTTATTTCTACGCGTGGCGTTTATTCTTTTTTGCATAGAGAAAGAATCATTTTTCATTATGCATAATGATAAGCAACATGTCTGCAAATCTAATACAAATAATTTAACAATTGTCCCCAAAAAATGTTGAATTGCATAATCTTGTTTTATAACGATAATAATTCAAGGATTTTTTTTTTAAATTTATAATAAACATTACCATTTAAGTATCAAACATGTATAGTAATAAAATAAGCAGGTAACATATATTTTACGAAAATTTTTTAAAAAAGTTTTATATGGTGATAGCTTATTTCAAATTGTATCTTAGGCCACACGAAGTTAATTTTTCTTTTTGCATTACATGGATTTAAAAATTCCCGGTCGGTCGGATTTTTTTATTATTATTAATCGATTATAAATTAACCTATTGTAAAATTAATAGACTCATGTTCGCATCTAAGGCCATGCAGAGTTAATTTTTCGCTTTTTATAACAAACACGGAATCGGAAAATTGAGTTGGTAGGCGGATTTTTCTATCGGTCCTATCGGATAATTTCTTGGAAATTAAGGTCTCCATCGAGTGATACCGGAGTAATTTATGGGAAAAAATTAAATAGCAAAAAAAAAAAAAATCAAAAGGAAAAATTGAAAATGGGCCAGCGAGTAATGTAAACGAAAAATTAACCTTGCGTGGCATTAGCATGAAAAAAGAATAATAATAATGTTTTTTTTCTTTTTGGAAAAAAAAACTAACTATTAAAAAGGGATTCAATTTTAATAAAACTAAATCATAACCTTTGTCATCCATATATACATTCGAGACTACTGTAATAATGATTGTACATATTTATTACATACAAATCATTATATATTTTTGTTACTAGTGCTAGTGACTAGGTTGGTAAATCCTCTTTTCAAGGAT